AGACCCAAGCTACTGTCGTGGAATTCAAACGGGGTTAACAGCCCCGTTGTCACAATGTAGAACGGAATGGGGCTAAAGTAGAGACGAAAGTAGACGATATTGTCACGTTCCAAACCGCGGCGTTATAAACGCCTTAACGTTCTTATTAAGCCTGTTGTAGCACCAAGGATTATTGGCCACGGTATTCTCAGCCACTCCTTCGTCTTTTCGGTCCCCGTACCGCGGACGAAATTCGTGGGAAGTTAACGACACCGTTGCCAGGGATACCGCCGAGAATGTCGCTGCCAGCTTGTAAGAAGATGAAGCTTTAATAAAGGCCGCTATAATATTAAAGGAGCGGATTGTCGCCACTGCAACGCGTCCCTGCGAATCACGCGACGACTCGCGAATCTCCAACCATTCCCGTGCAATCTACCATCCCTTGTTATTCGGTCAAATGTTTTCCCGCCGATCAAACGGTTTTCCTAACCTAACTTTTCTACCCCCTCGTCGCTCTTTTAATTCATAAATTTAATAATTTCAACGCGTCGATAAACCGTTTTGAAAAGAGCTTTGACGAAAATTGCGACCGTATCGAAGATCTGACCCATTCGGTCGACGGGAAGAAGATTCGAAACGTGTACACTTGGCCCTGATAACGGCGTGAAAGGGAGATCCCTTCTTATCAGTTATGTACGCTGCATCGCGTAATAAAGGGACGATACACCTTCGTCGTCGTACGAGGGTGGAACGTTAAAAGGGTGCTCATTTTTCTCTTGGTTTACCGAACGTTCGTTATTAATGGCGGTGTCCTATGATAAGGTAATCGCAGTTTCGCGTCTGTCGTTGGAGATATCCCTCTTGATACTCGTATACCTCATGTTAATGTCTCCCCGCGCGAAGTGTGTCTCATTTATGGGTAGGCAGAGACACGAGTGCGAGCGGACGCCGTTCCGCGGTTACGACGTCGTTACCGTATCGGTGTATAGCAGCGACGAAAGAGAGCCCCCACGGTTTGCGAGGGCTGGCTTGGATCTCAGTCGCGAGGGACACGGGCTCCTGGAACGACGAGTTTATCCGGGCCGTCAGGCTACCGGATAAATTAAGCATCAAGTTCTGTGGCTGGAACACGCTCTCTTCGGTCCTACTGTGAATTACTCATAGCCTGTCTTGGGAAACTGAAAACGGGAAAGGAATGGCGCGGCGTTGCCTGGGAAGACGCGGGAAGCTCGTGGCGCAACAAAATTTTCTTCGCACGATTATCAGCGATCTGCCACGCAATACGACCGAATTAATTAATTCGCGGTATATTGATATTACGCGGTTAACCATATCTAAACCTCGGTTAGCGTATATTATATGTATATATATAGACATATAGGTATGTATAGAGATCAGAATCAGATTACAGTTGCGCAGAACCGGGGAAATTTATGCGCAGGATTTACAGCGTGCGAAAGTTTTTCATCGTAACGTTCTGCCGATGGCAGAATTAAGTACCGAGTGCAGCGAAATTTCGAATCGAAGCGGGACAGTAAAGAACGGAATCGATAATGCTATAATCAGAAATATTTGTGGCTCATGGGCGAGGCCGGTGGTATAGAATCGAAAACAAATTAACTCGTCGAACGTCGAAGATTCAAATTATATCCCGGGGGCAAAAGAAATCACGTGCAATTAAAGAAATCGTTTGCAACGAGCCTTGTCGCTAGTTCTCCTTTTAATTGTACGCCCACGCGACTTTGGAAAGACACGGAAAAGTGAAAGGAATGCGAACTGTTATGAGAAAGCGACGACCGTCGGGCCGAAGAGGAAACCAGAGGCGAAAGAAGGGGATGAGCCACCACGAACTAACGAGCGAACTCCTACGAAACTACCGCCTCATATAATCAATTAGAACTCTTGAACGAGTGAGATGGTAATGGAGTTGAGCTAAGTACAAACTGGAGCAAACTGGCGTCGACTCGAACGAACGTATCAACCGCCTCCTCCTCCTCCTCCTCCTCCTCCCAGCATCGACGTCTAAAGTCTGTCCACTTTCGGCGCAATTGGAGATCTTCGATATTTTGAACATTTCGGATATCGTGGGATATCGTGTATCGCTACTTTACAAAGGTTATGATTCCGTGACATTAGAATGGATCAGGGACTTGAATGGTGCCTTAGAGATTCACTGGGATATCATCCAGTGTTTCAAACGAATTTTACAAAAATTTTTTATTTAAACACTAGCACGAATTTATTGCGATAAAAAGTATAGTCGGTGAAAATGACAAATGAAATGTTCCAAGTAGAGAAGAAAATAATCAGTGGAAGAGGACGGTCATTGGTCAGACACGATTACGTGAACCAGAAAGGGATGATTATCGAAAGATAATTTTATTGCAATCGTAATTTACATGGCTTGTAAAACGTTAGAAAGTATTTTAAGATAGTATTCGCGATTTGATAATAGACGGGAGCGTCTAAAAACAAAGAAGATCTCTCTTGGTTCAATATTTACGCCAGAACTATGAATCATTCGAAGGTACCCCTGATTTTACTGCCGACACTTTAATCCCATTTCCCCATTTCAGCAAGAGCTATAGCCGTCAGTTAGGATAATCGTAGCTCGATGTTTTTTTCGAAATTGGCCGTTATCCCGAGCCATAAATTTGAAGGACATTGAAGACGCGCGAAAGAATCTATCCCAAAGTGGTCAGGGTAATCTCCGTTATCTTAAGTTGACCCTTCGTTTATGGCTCTTCGAAGAGGCCACTTTCGACTTCTTCATCCGATTTTCTCTGAACTTCCTTCTGTTCGACCAACAGGGTAGATAAGAAGAACGGAATGCGGAATCGCCAGAAATATCACCTTCTTGTTTACCTTATAATCTCGCGCCAAGAATCGTTGCAGCAATCCATAAAAAACGATGTACCGTTCGTTTGTTTGCTATAAAATTTCCAAGAGATGTCTATCAGTTGTCGGTAAAATCAATACTTTGATTGTTCTCGTTGAATTAGTTATTTTTTATCGAACGGGATAATCCGTTTCTTTCTGATAGAAGCCTATATTCATCGGCGTATATAACGCTCGTAATTACAGTTCAAATTTGATAATATTGTAACATCAGCAACTGTATCGGTCCTGTTCCCCAGCATCCTTGTGTACAACGTATGGAATTAGCGGATCGACGTACATACGCAGCGTTGCTTCATTAACGGTGACGTAATTTATTGCCGCGCGGGACAGTTAATAATGATGGGAATTTAATGGCATCGGGAAACTTTGAAATTTCCCAGACAAACGTTAATCATTTTTCGAACGTAGAAATATGCATACCCGCGCTCGAGCAGCATTGTTAATCACAGTGTCACGCGTCAATGAGAAATTAACGTGCCCGTATGGGAAGATACGACTCGTAGGTTAATAAATACTAATTTTTCAAATTTAAACTAATATATGTGCATGCACGATATCCGCGCGATACGAGGTTTCGTTTCGGGTTCAAAAGTAAGTCGAAAATATGGAATAAAATGTCGTCGGGCAGGTTTCATCCGCGGAGACTTTGTGTTTGATTGCGCGCGACTCGAGCAGCAATTAAACAGGATTACCATTTCATGTATGTACTCGTCATGTTCTCGAATAAAGGTACACAGAGGTGATTTCTCCATGGCAGTAGCCAAGTCCATTAAAATCAGAAACTTGCAGAGGCAATAGGAACACAAATGTCTACGAACGCTGTTACGTTCATCAGCGATTAGTCAGATTTCAGAAACCCTTATAAGCGCGTACGTCTTTGGCGAGAATCCGCAGATCCATTTAAAGCGGAGCAACCTATTCCAAATTGCCGCGATTTAAACTTCTTCGAACTGGTCTCATTTAACGAAGCAACGGGGAAAAGTTTCGACACGGGGATGCCGTAAAATTTTTCATTTCGAACCGTGTCCGTATCCGTAACGGAGATCTGGTAGTTAATTCGTTTGGGATGCTCGGTCATCGTGATGGATGTTGTCCGTAAATTTTCGTGGCCCAGCTGCTGCTTCGCCGTCTACCAGTCTAGGATGGAAGGAAAGAACGAGAAAGTGAAACGAAAGGGGAGCAAACAAAAAGGAAAAGGTCCAAGTTCCGGCGGTCCATACGAATCTCTGATTCTGATCCTTGAAAATCCTGGCACATACGATTCTCTGGTTTAAGGCGATCCAGGGGAATCACGGTTATTCGTGGTGGGCTGTCAATAACTTGGCTTTCTCTTCTTCTCTTTCAATTGGTTTGTTCCTTTGGCTCACGTGCTCGGTCGTTCGCTCGCTCGCCTTGTCCGTCATCGCGTGCACACTGAAAGAGATCCATCGACCGGCCGCCGCCTCTTGACTCTCGCCACCCCTTTCTGGCGCAGCCTTCTCGTTTTACACCGTTAAATCCAATTTCAGTTTGCCGCTTCACACTTCCAAAAAGGATCTTGGCGGTAACTCGTCGCAGCCATCGGTGGCCCTTTTCTCGTTTTTCGGCGGTCTCCTCGTGGACGAGTATACTCGATCCCATCCCCGTATAATCTCTTCTCGTTAAGCAGTCCGATCGAACCTTCGAGAGGGTTACGCGCCCCACCGATATCATCTTCTCAGTGGCGAATCGATTTGGGGCAGGACACCGGGATTTTAACTGCTGATGGGGAGACCTCTCACGATGGAATTGAAAATTTAAATTCGTATAAGTTCGTCCGCGTTTCATCGGGTCTCGTCCCTGGTGGAGTTGCTTAATGAAAAATAGACTCGAACCAGAATGAAAGGACTCGAGGGAAAACGTTCTTACTTGGAACGGTACTTGTGGTGCGAAGACGGAGTCGTTTAAGCACCTTTTGCTGCTCGATAATACGAAGAATCGTATTGATAGAGCCAGTAATTCTTTAGCGATGGAACGGACAACGGGTAGATAACGAGCTTACGATCGCAGCTCTAACAAACAATCTCTAGCGTCTAATTAGCATGCGTCGCTTTCGTCTCAGAAATACACTTCTCTAATTGAACGTTTCTTTTGCGTTTCAGGTGACTGGTATCGTCGGACGAGCGGACGTTCTAGCGTGTATCTTCTTCTTGCTGTCGTTTCTTGCTTATCACGGGTAAGTACGATTAAATTCTGGAATTTTAGTCAAGAAAGGAAGATAGCCTTGGTCCGGCTCGCAACATTTCTTTAATACTTTGTTGTAATTGCACGTTGGCTGTGATTAATAACACTCGAGTAATTCGAGAAATCGTGCTGGATTTACATTGTATCAAAGCCATCGGAGAAACGTATTTCAAAGGAGGATACGTTCAGGTGAACGTGACAGTATTATCAAAATCTAATTTTCTTGAACCTTTCGCTCGCGAAATAACTACGTCTGCTGATACGCTCGGAATTTCGTATTATTTCACGTTTCCTATATCCATTACGAACAATTCGTTCGTTCCTTCCTTGTTCCGATCGTACTCGACACAGAGTAATTTTCATCATTCCATGCGAGGAAAACAATTTCATCGTGTACTGCAGTTACGCTCGTCGAGATGGTAACAGAATTAATCATCGTGACCCGCGTATACTATGCCATTGTTGCACGGAGCCGCGACGTCGGTTGCATGTTCAAGTTGTTTGGAACTAAACCAAAGTAAAATCGACTTTTCGTTTAATAATGTAACAAGCAGCGCTGATAAGGTCAACGTCGCGGTCCGTAAGAAATATCGTAAAGGTTCTGGGAAAATTTAAACACGCTGGAATAGAGTTGTTCGGTGTTATGCCTATTGCACCGATCTTTCTATCGATTCGATGGCAAATTTGTTTATTCGTGTAGAATAAAAATGTCTCGCGTGTTACGAGACTATTTGCAGCGTACTTAGTGTGAAATTAGACGTAGGAACAGGTGAAATAATCCCCCCTGGGTTAGAAAAATGTTCAACCTTTTGATCGAGCATCGCTAAATTTCTAAATCAATCTACATCGATTGAAAGTGCATATGTATGTATTATATTCTGGTGGGGTTTATCAAATTACTATACCATACAGAGTGAATGCGATAAATATCGTTAATGGTAATTTTAGGCTTCCAGACTGTTTTGCATTATCCGCAGTTTAAAAGCTTAAATCCAGCAAAGTGCGCGAAACTGTTTACGATCATCTGTCGGTGAAAAAGTGCAACGATTCCTCTCCCCCGTCTCTTTTCCTCTCCGGATGGTTGCGTTCAGGTCGCGAGTAACCTAATAAGGTAGCGTGTCAGAGGCATAATACACCCATAACTCGAGGGAACTTACCGGCTGCACATACATACGTCAGCGACGTCGGGCGTCGCTTAGCGTCGGGACGACGCCAGTCTGACGGCGAAACAGCGGCCCATTCATTCTCGTAAGCACCAGGGCGGGCGGTGTGTGGAAATTATAAACTAAACTAATTTACTCGGGCCTCGAAGCAACACGGCCGCGTGGCTGGCTATGAACGCCGCTCTCGCTCCTCTAAACGTTCCACGGGTCGTTTACATCGATCCTTAACCGTGAAAATATTAACTGCTTACGAGCGATCCTGCGAACTTACCATGAAAATCTTTTTATCGCCGCTGCTAAGAGGATTTCGGTCTTGTGCATGCCAAACGATCTAACGGCCTCGAAACGAGCCGCGAACAAGACGTTTCCTTCGATCGAACGACAGGCATTAGAGAATTATCCCGAGTCTTTTTTAATGTTTTATTCCGAGAAAAGGATCGTGTTTCGTTTGGTCTCGTAGTATAGCTTGCCTTGGAATATCCGGCTGTTTCAAGCGGCTTCAAAGGAACATCTTTCTATACATTTTTCTGTTTGCACGAACGGAGGAAAAACAGCAGGTGGTTTTTGACACAAAGGGGATACTTGGTCGAGTACAGAATACTATTAAAAACAAAGAAGGGGTATTAGACTTACGGGCAATTAACAAATAAAGCGAGAGTAATGCTTCTGATTGGCAGGACGATATACATATACGCGTTGCTCTTCCCCTTTAATTGTTAATTACTCGGAAATTCTCGAGCGAAGAAAGAAACTGATCGTTGGTTGTTCGTTTTAGTTTTACGAGGCGGGCTAATGAAGTAGAAGAGCAGCACGTTTCAAACACTGACGTGTACTTGGGTGAAATTAAATTGAAGAACAAACACAACTCCGCTTCGAAAACTGAAATTAATTATTCTCTCGTCTCGATTCTTTTAACTGTACGGCTCGTTGACCTCGACTGGGGTTTCGTTCGTTTCACCTCTTGCACCGAGAACTCTATACGTTTGCACGTAGTGCGTTCTTCCATGCAAACCCTTGCACCTGTATTCCAAGAATCTATGCTCAGACACGCTTCGCACGCAACCGATATTCCAGGCTAAACATTTACTCGGACTCGCGATCTAAATTCGGGTGAGCCTGAATTTTATTCAAACGTCGTTACGTTGTTGTAAAATGTGCAATGACTCGTTTGACGGTTAGAGAAATGTTCGTCGGGCGGGCACGACTGGAAAATAAAGTAAAAATATTGTCGGCAGAACTCGGATAACAGCTAGCGTAAAATAAAATTCAAGCGTTGATATCGACCAAGCCAACAATTCGCGGATCGTAACGTTTTTACTTCGCATCGTGCTCATTCGAATACACATTGAAATTCGCGCGGGTTTTAGTTTTTCGAGTGGACGCGAACACCGTGAAAACATGATCCAATGAAAAGTAACGTTTCCTGCTCGGCGAAACTAATTTTCACGCGATGCGAGTGTAATTAAACTTGATCCGTTCGCGGCAGACGAACTGCTTGAAACGAGGGGTAGCCCCATTCCGGATATCGCAATCGATACAGGCGTACACCCCCCCTCATCCTCTTTCGGTAGCTAACGGTTCGAACGAACGCGTACTTATCCGGCGTGCACACATTTTTCTCCTCGATGCGAACGGAAAAAGAAACAAATATCGAAAGCGGCGTGAGCCGTGAAAAATACGCAGTATATTGAGAGAAACGAAGGTGGATAGCGCGCAAACGAGCGGGAAAACGGGTGCTCCGGCTAAATGGGCGCCGAACCAGGTCACTGTGTCAACCTCCGGGCTTTTAAGTAATGAATCTCGAATGAATATTCGTATTTAAAAAAAGAAAAAAAACGGGGGAGAGTGAGTTGTACGAAACGTTCGAGAACAAATGTTCCTTGTTCGAAGTCGGTGACACCGTTCGTCGAATTACTGAAACGAATTCGGCCGTTCGCAATGCGAACATTGCGATTCCACTGAATCCTCGGACCTTTAAATTTTCGTTACAAACGGGTGGCTCGTCTGTCTCTTTCGCAAAATTGAATCGTCATCCAGTCGTTAAATTATATTAGTACGCTGAATGCTTTTTTATATGTATAATGCTATTATAATCTTTTATTCTTCTTTTATTCGACCGTATTGTATTGATAATATATAATTTAAAACAATTAAGATATTTAAATCGTAGACATCGACGTTTGAATCGAGTGTCCTTGATTTCAATTCATGTTGCCAGGACAGGAAGTTCTCGGCAGAGTGCACTTGGAACTCGAAAGAACGTTTTGGAAAAGTTTCGAAAAGAAAGTGAAGCTGCGCTATCGACTGCCGCGTCGATCGATTGACTGTCGGATGACAGATAAAACGAGTGTCTCAGAACCGGAGGATTCCATATTCATTCTCCCTTTTCCGCTTCGACTTGGTTTAACCTGTCCTTTCAACGGCTCTCCTTCTTTTTAGCGTAATTGCCGTCCTTTAAATCCAGCCTGAATCGATTTACGTTTCCACGGTAGCGAATTTTCAATTACTCAGATTTTAAATGGCCGACGATTCATGCCCGTTAGACGTCTCGACCGACCATCCCCCTTAGCTTATTAGTTTTACAGCGACTTGTGCACGATCCCCAAAGCGCAAGGACTCTCTCGATTTTTTTTTTCTCGTCGTATCTGAATTTAATAGAGCGCTTAAAAAAATATTCCACAATTTAGTAAGTCGTAATTGTGAGAGAAAATAATTTATTAATACGTAATGGCCTGTTACTTTATCAAACAGCAATTTTCACATCTCGTTATTACGAGATATCTTAGTAATGAATATATTCGGTATGGCATTTTGAAATACATTCTTCGTAACATCGAGACGCAAACGTTAATATCCATTTCTGAGATGCAAAGAGCTCCGCGTTACTCTGCAATAACTTGACAGATTTTCGCAAGCTCCCAGCCATCTCTTGTACTCGTTATCTCGTTATCAGTTTCGAGCCCGCGAAACAGTTCTCGCGGCAGCGAGGCGTCTTTTTCTGGGCAATTACCGCGGCATACCCAATAAGTAATAATTTCAGCGCGTAATCCGTTGTCTTCCGGCGGCAGCATACTGTCGGCTGTTTTTGCCGGGACCCTCGGAACTTGGCGGGCCGCCTCGTTACGTCAAGCTTCCATTAATCTTACTTACGGAGCTTTGATGTAAATTGTAAGAAATGCCGGGCCGCCCTGCCATAGACGTCCTCGCTGTTTTTACGGCCCTGCAGTTCCGCGCTTTTGTCTCCCTGGCGACCTTCTTCGCGTTAACCCGGGACGTCGTCTTCGAAATCCCGAAGGACGTCTTTGCAGCGTATACGACGCTCGACGCAGATTGATGTACGCAGCGGGGAACGCGATCAGGCTGCCATGTCACCGTCCTCGCGACGGCTGAAAATTGTTTGTCGAGGGCTGTTTTGTTTTCGATCGGCCATGAACGAACCATTTTATGCTTCCCTGACACCGATTCGTTCCCCTCCTTTCACGTGCTTTCTAACATTTATTTATAACTTTCCTTACAATATTAACGATACTGTCAGCATTCGACTTCGTATAACTTGGAATATAATCTGAGAGGAAATTTTTAAAAATATAGATTTTAATATAAATAAATAGAACGTATTATGAACTCGAAAACTGAGCAATCGAAGTATCTATTTTTGGACCAGGACGTTAATATTTGAACTCTTTTCTCGCTTTAGATTCTGATTTATCACACCGAGGTATGGGCAGACAGAATTCATTTTTCGTTCCTGGAATCTAGCAAACCAATATTGGAATTGTTTTATCTTTTCTCTGGAAATTCATTCGCCCTTACAGAAAAACTTTTTAAAGATATATTTATTCCACTATCTACTAGTATAAGTTTTAACGGACGAAGAAAAATAATATAAACAAAATGTAACAAACAAGACGAGAATGTATTCTCTCTGCGACGAGTCGAAATATTGTTTTCGAACATACAGGGTACGTGTCCAGAGAATAGCATGGTGGGGATAATTTCTCAGTGGTTTCGAACAGCCAATTAGTTTTGGTCGTTCGTAATCGCGCGGTTCGCATGATACTAAATACATATATCACTGAGAGTAGAATAAACCTCGTATGGTCAGACACCTAGTCGACCAGTTTAACGTTGACGGTACCAATGCACAATTTATTTAAACCTGGTACAATCGCACGGTTTTAAGCCAGTGGAATACGATACAACAGATATCTTATTAATCATTTTAATATAAAAAAATAGACCGTGCAACAAAGAGAACAATGGATTAACTTCAAATACGAACGTATGTATTTGTCTTGCAAGTTTAAATTGAATTACAATGTAGCTGTGGCTGGCTATTTGTAATATTAATACAGCTTTTTACTTGCACAAGTAGAAATAACGAGCAATAGTTGGACGCGCCAGCCGAATGGTAGCCAGTCGATCGCACGCGTATCCGATTTTATTCAATTATCTTGAAAACGAAGCATTGTACGAACAAATTTTAGTCTACGTTTTCGATTTATTTTTCCATATAGAATCATCACGATCACTGGGACTTTCTGTACAAAGAATAGGGAAGATGTGCGTTTCGTTTCGAGCCTATTAATATTCATCTATAGAGTTACGTTGCTGTTAGACGCGTAGATCATACGGGAAACATGAATTTCAAGTCGAAGGTAGAAATTTAATTTAACTCGGGTGTTTGGTACATGTTGCGTTATTGCCTGTGGTTCGAAACAACAGAATTTACAGCACGGATGATTTCAAACTACAAGTTACGTTGCTGACATTAGATTATATTCTATTAAGGATTAACGGACGTGTTTTAAGAGAGGCCGAACGTATAAAGAGAAGATGAATGAAATTTCGAAACGGAACTTGAAACACGTAGGCTGTCGAGTATTTTCTATGTCGTTTCGTTTAACTTTCACGATGTGGACGCGAAATGCATCGTGAACGAAAACCGTGGAAAACGCTCAACGTTGGGAATATTTGACGTTGTCTGACGTTACAAAAGCGTACCGAATAGTTTCATAAATTTCACTGGCACGATGGGAGCTGAAATTAGGAAATTTCAGCGAACTATACGTCGAAATTGCGATGTAATTGCAGTAAAAGTGTAAATATGAAAAGGAAGTCAACTCGTTGTTTAATTCGGTATGAAATGTTAGAGGAAAATGAAACAACTGCCCCCGGCAGAGGGAGAGATTCCATTTTATTTCACGAAAAAAGTCTGTATTTCCACGTTTCCAAACGCGCGATCATTATCACACGTACGTACGTAATTTTCACCTGCCCGCCTTTATATCAGTCTGTTCCTCCGTTCGTCTCGTTAAAAGCGGAATTATCTTACGTGCTTTCGGAGTTTCCACGTCGACGCCACGCTTCAATGATACCCTAATTTAATTTCAAGAAGTTGAAATGGTTTCCAAGAGCCTGCAGCTTTGATCGTGATAAAGAGGGCGAGCTTCTCTTTGTCATTGTTATCGATGATGTAGTACCTTGAGCGTCGTTTCGGTTAGATAGTTGTAAATTCGCTCCACGTTCTTTGTGTGTGCGTGTATTATGCAATAACACACACGTACTTCGTTCTCTATTACAAATTAATGCGACAGACCGCGTCGGAAACTTGAGGTAACCTCGTACGAAAGAAAACCAAACTGGTTACCGTGGTTTATTAAATATGTATGGTAAAATGAACATACAGGTCGTTGAAAACAATGATCCAAAACTCTAAGATATTCGATACGTATTTCTTGATATTTTATGAAAAACACGCATCCACGAAAAAGGAAAATATTTAAAAAGATTTTATGTATTCGCCCTTTCAATTCGATGGATTTGGTCTTCGCTTCGGTGTTAAATGAACTTTTAGCAGAGGCCTGAGAGGGTCGCGTTCTAAATTTAGTAATCCAAAGACTCTGGAATATTAACCACTTTCTCCGTGTTTCCATCTTCAGAATAGATGATCTTTTTAACGAATTAATCGGTTTAAAACTTTAATGGAACAGTAAATCGATTAATTATATTCTTAATCGAATAACAGATGGAATTATTATCGATAATGGAAGTCGCTGGAATTACATTTCTATCCTCTCCTGCACTTACCGAGAAGCGTTCAATAAAGCGTGGATCTTTACTCATGCGTGACGAAGCATTCCAGAAAGTAATCAACATCTCTTCCGTTTGATATATCACGTTCTTTGCTCGCCAATCGATCACGATCTCATAATCGATCGTTCTCGGACCAATTTGTTTCACGCATGGTAAAAGAAGGAAGAGTATCAATCTGCCTCTATTGTTTCGTTGGCACTTTTTTCTAGTGGCGTACCGCTAATAATTGTCCAGGTAAATAAATCGGTCGAAAGGTGTACGGAGGCGGCTCGTCCCGTGCGGACGGGGCTTTACTCTGCGCAAATAAAACTGCGGCACGCACTGCGCAGCCTGCATCGCATGCATAATTTAATAAAGCTCGTAGCTCAGCCGCGGCGAAATATTTATTTGCCGGAGCTGCAAGCACGAACCGTGGCGCGATTTCGTTCGTGACGGGATCCGGCCGTCCGCCTCGAACTTGAAACGCGAACGTTCGAACGAGCACCGCGAGAAGTCCGCGCAGACGATTTAATCGTTCGTTGCGCGCCGCCGACGCGGACGATGCGTGCCCCTTTCCTACCGATCGATCGCAACTGGCCCGCTTTATCGCGTATTCCTTTTTCCCGGCGACGATAAAACTAAATTACGCGGCATTACGATCGCGTGGCACTCGCCCGCGCTTAACTCGCCAATCTTTGCCTTTCCTTTGACCGACACCTGCTCAATATGCAAAACGGTAATTGGCTTTTCTCGCCCCTCGGCGAACATTACCGTCGGAGGTTCCTCGCGTTTTTCCACTCATTATCGTCGATCTAACTCGTTCGTTTTCGGCCTGTTCGGACCTCTGTTCGACGGAAACCAGACCAAAGCGCTATCTTCGCATTTGCACAACGCGTCCAAAGTCTCGCAACTTCCCCTCGGGTTATGAGGCTTTAGAGGCGTGGGGGCCAGAAGTGTAAATTAAATGTTTCGGATTTGTTTTGGTTGCAGGCAGCAGACGGCTTACGTGTGGAGCAGCGTGTGCCTGGGAGCGCTATCGATGTTAGCCAAGGAAACCGGCATTACTGTTTTGCCTCTAAACCTTCTTTACGACCTCTGTCGCTCCTGGCATTCAATCAAGAGGTAAGCGTTTAAGCGGCGCTCGGTCGTAGAACAGTTTGGAAACGCGACACGTGCCTTTCCTCCAATAAATTCCGATATAAGCAACACTGTCTTCCGGCGAATCGTATCTCCCGTGAGTTTACGCGACGTCACCTGTCCCTGTCGCGGTTTATTTCTTTCTAACGAGACCGTAGCACCCGACCAACGAACAGATAAGTTCCGCTCGCGCAGGATATTACGAATCCGGTCTGATTTACGTAATGGTGTCTTTTTTTACAAAGATTAACAGCCTAAAATCTTTTCTACTCTCGACCAATTCTAGTCCATACCGCTCGGTTAATCTGTCATCGCGTATCACTCACCGCGTACAATTATCAATGATTATATATATTAACTTCGATTGTTTCACGAGCGAATCTCGTTTTGTGCGTCTTCTAAATATGTTATTACAGTAAATTTCTTATTAGAAAATAAGCTCGATCAACGCGATCGTTAACTTGACATGCAAATTAACGTTGTTTACGAAGGTAGATTGTGTTTCTAAACACAGCCTTTCGATGTTGGACATTATCAACATGAGATGCCTATTAAGCTCCGTATGCTTATACATACAGGGCGTACCATGCGCGAGTGATATCGCGAACGTTTATTCGTACTCTACTCGTAACGTCTTCCAAGTTTCGACGAACCTCTCGTACTTTATTCCGTGCAATTTCGATCGCAATTTCCCGTCCGCACGATCTCTTTCGTATCCTCGAAACAATGAAAATCTTTATTCCCTCGGAGAGAGCAACAAATAAAGCACATTCAATCGAGGCTCATAAACTCGGCGCGTTTCGCGAACAGACTATTTAAAATTGACGAGCAACTCGCGAAACGAGAGCGCAGAATTATCCTCTCGGACTCCGTCGCGACAGCGAACTTTAAGCACCTTTAAACGTGAAATATAAAATCATAAAACCGCGCAACCCCGCCAAACGTAAAACGCGAATTTCATTTTACGCAGAAACATCGCCCCAACTCTTCTTACACCGTGATTTCCATGAAACTTTGCACGACTCAATTGCCAGAGAAATAAACGTACAATTTTCTATAATGCGTAAATTTCGGTTTTAGTTGTAAATTTCATTTAGAGTTGTATCGTAACTTTCGGTATACTCTGTTTAGATTACATGGCAATCGGTGTATTATAGTATTACAGGAACAATTTGTATTAGAGTTGAAATTACGAGTGAAAATTACGGGCTAAATCCGCCAAAATGTTTAAAGTATGTATAATAGATAACATATTTGAGAACATGTTGGGGAATTTAATTAAAACTACAGTATGTTACCTTTATAATAATTGTGCACGCGGCGCTGCTTGAAATTAAATTGTACAATCGGAGGCTTAGCTACGAAAAACATTTAGTATTATTTAAAGTACAAATTTCTAAATAAATGTACGCCACTTTTCATAATTGCTATTTATTTGTTACGTCGACGGGCACGTTCTTTAATATTAACGTCAGTTCCGAAATTGGCTCGTGACATTTACCGGGGTTACCTTCTTACGTTCCAGATCTATTTTTGAAGCTAGATGGAACGACGATTCAAGGCACTTCTCTCGGCGCGCTGCAACTTTACTCGTTTCGGTGAGTTTAACTGAAAATTCACAAATATGACTGTCAAAAATTATGCTCCAAGATAAACTGAGAATACCTTAAAATCAATGAATACATGCAAGACCGACCTCTTCTTTTGCTTGTTTTGAAAATAGAAGCAACCTGCTACTACTTTCTTAAAAAGCGTCAGATTATTGGTAGAACTTAACAAGGAAACTCCAAGGAAGATTTCTCACGGGTTTTAACGAAACTTTTTACGTAGATAAGGAACAGAAAATATAATAATGTCTTAATTATACTTGAAGAAAGTACGTGTACAAAGTAATGTAAAAGACGAATCTCAGCTGCACTGCTATCAAGTCCAGCAATAAAAAGGAAGAAAATGGAAAGGAAAGTTACGGATGCTGAAGATTCTTGAATAGATTTATGCGAGAGAAATTAAGGAGAAAAAGTAACGAAACGAAACCGCTTCCATACGTTTCCTGCATCGGATTGACGTTTGGAAATTCACCTAATATTTCGAAATCATGGAATTCCGAGGTCCCTGTACCAAACAATTACCAAAGTCAAAACTTTTTGACTCGGAAATAAACAGTTTGCATGGGTAAAAATTAAACCCTTTATCGCTATCAGGAAACAATACTAGATTTCTACGAAAATCCATATCTCTGCTCTTTCAGCGATCATTAATGTCACGTAAAAGCCATTATGCGTTGGAAACAATGCGTGAAACTGAAGGGTAGGAACAACCGCGGCGCGGCGTTCCGCCGCGATCGACCGTGACGAAGAAACTTTAGCGAATTTTCAAGCGTACCGAACAAAACCTACGTTCGTATTTATTCGAACCGTTTGCCGTCGTAGCTGACCGTGTAAACGATTCCCGTCATAATTCCGCGGAAATGTTCCACTGTATTCCCAGTTGAAAATGTTTTCGAGTCCGCCGCGACAGGCATTGGTTGGCTGCATGCAATTTCAATTTTATTATCGTCGAGTCAGGCATAGCCGGGAATTTCCTGGACGGTGTCTAGAGAGCGAAGGCTATCGGTTCCGAACGAAAATAAATGGTTAAATCGATCTATCGACTTTTCTCTACAACTTCATTGGCCAACAGAAGTATAGACATTGCCGGTAATACAATAACGACAAAGCCATTATGGTATACCACTCGCGCCCCTCATTCGTCCGCAAATCATGCAGGGCTTCTACATGCATACGTACTATATCCGATCGAGCAGCGAGCTAATAACGTGGAACGGAACAAAAATTATAAACCAGCCTCTCGGCTATAAATAAAACGATGCGTACCTTTTCTTTTCTTCTTCTTTGAATCAGCAGAATAGGAAAACCAGAATATTGTCATTTTTGTGAAAGTGAACTACCCTCTTACGCGCACACTTGAAAGTCTTATTCTTCTATTGCTCTTCCGGCTCCTGTATGTATAATACTTTGAAAACTCTATTGTCCAATATTTAAGTTCGAGCAGTTTAACGGAGATCGAAGCAACAGCACATAACTTTCGAATCGTGCGTAAAGATTTATCGTCGCGGGGAACAAGTTGTCCGGACCTTGAAGATCCCTGGCTGCCTTGCGTGTACTCGCAAACGGTCGCAGATTCGCGTCGTTAATTCTTAACGACCTATACATTCTCTTTTTTATCGTTTGCTCGTAGCTGGCCGCCGATGTTTGCCGCATCTCAACCCTTAAGTATGTTTAACGATCGTTAACGCATGTGCACTCGTCGCGGGCAGTTCTCCTTTACGATCGCGAAATATAAATTCCGTACCCTCGAACTGTTAAGCGAGCTGGCAAATTTTTGATCGTCGAACCTCGTCGAATGCAGTCGATTGTCGACGGAAGCGTGTCTATAATGGCACTTCCTTCGACGCATGAATTTATTGGAATACGCCTAGTAATATTGTGAGATATCGAGAATGAGGAGGAATAGAACTTTTATGGATATTTCGATATGTCAAGAAACGTATGTACATACAAGGCAGCGGTTTTCAAACTTCCTTCACCGCGTACCAATCAATATAATGAATATTTTTACGCACGAAAACATTTATTGCTAGAAAATGTTTCGTATGAAATGGAAAAAGTTACTCCCTTCCCTTTCCTCGCTACAATCTACCCTAAATATGTATGTTTTTCCCCTTACGGTTCGACGTCCAGTACGGACATGTAGAAAAGATTCCCTTAATCAACCCTTGAATAATATAAGAAGCTATAAAACGTATCACTCTCGTGTCACGTTGATTATTTCTATTGTGGTGAATTGATTTGAACCATACATTCTCGAAAACTATCGTTAAATCTGTCGAGTACACACGGAGGAATTCAAACTGTCTTCGTGACGTCGCTCAAGTTTCTCTAAACTAATTCGAAACTGTTTGAGCCTTGATCGATTCAGGAAGCTTTCGCTATACCGCGGTAAATATCATTATTATGAATTTCCCCGTTACTAATTGATAACAAAATGTATTATGCAAGTGGTTAATTAGTTTTAATTAAGACAATATAACGACCGTACGTTATAAATTATGCATAACAGACGGTGGATGCGGGAGCGAACTTTATTAGAGATTCATTGATTTAATTAACGAGTGTGTCGTGCTATATAGATAGAAGCGTCGTTGGTTATAAATCGCTAGAAAATCTAGCTCTGTTTTTAACGTAATTGATTCCTCGCAGTTTTACAACGACTCGTAATTTGTATCGTACATGGAAAGTGATGGAAGTGTATAAAATATCGCGCAACCGATAGGAAGTCGAGGGTGCGCACGGAACGTGGTCTGACCGAACACGATTTCGAGTTATGCTAATTTATGTCAAGAAAAGGAGGGGAGGCGTGCGAGCACAACCCTCGCAAGCAGGACCCCACGCATACTTGACTCCTTTTCCACCCTCCTCGTTCTTGTTACCTATTACCATTTACGCGTTCCAAGATATACAGGGTGTTCAGCCACTTCTGGGAAAAATTTGAATGGGAGATCTGAAAGTCAAAATAAAAAAAAAATTTCAAGTCGTCCTGGAAAAATTATTTTCGGTTGCGGGGGTCAATTACAATCATTTTTTATGAATACATATACCCCCGAAATCCTACGCACTTTTTAGAAAAAAATTCCTTTTTAAGGACCATCGAATTTTTGAAACGCAAAACATTTAAATATTTATATTCGATCGTCGGGGGCGTCAAGTTCGCGATCGTGCGGTAACTGGCAATTTAGATGTACTGCTCCTCGGTAAAGCAAACGACCGAGTATAACTTGAAACTTGGCGTATCGCAGTGTCTACTTAATCATAATACGGAATAGTTGTAACCGCTTCATCTTTATTCGCAATCTTTGAAACAACTTGTACGGTCGTGAAACTTTGCGCAGCGAATCAATTATCAATGTAGATGGAAGTGTACGTTTGCTTTGGCCATGCAGTATTTGCCTATGGATGTAGCCGAAGGCACGTTATGGTCGCTTGAAACGTAACAGACGTAATCGATAAGCCAATACATTACGGATACACATTGTTGACTGATTCTACATCAATTTGCCCGTTGTTAGTCGAATGGTTTACCGCTCAAATCTTACCTCGGGGTTTCAAATTATCCTCGGGCCGTCGTCGGCGCAATTATAATTTTGTACGCCAAGTTAACACGTCGTCCGGAACTGGTTTAGCTTGCTAACAATCGGAACGTGTAAATAACGTATTACACGGTCGAACGTTTGATTGATAATTCGGAAAGGCAAGGTTGCATCCAACGAATTTATCCTACGGATACTATTCTTTCGGTACTTTATATTTTTGCAAATATTGCGCTTGGGTATTATCAATTCCAACGTATTACTTTTTTATCGAGGTTAAATAAGAAATAAAATATTTCCCCTGTTCTACAAGCTTTTATTCAAATATTAACGTTATTGTCCTGAAGTATTAAGGCAAAATTCAAAGTAAGGATAAAGATACATTGTATTTCATAAAGCATGCCGACGATCGGAGTCAGCCACTCGGCAAAGTGTATTGAATTCGTTTCAGCATCATTAGTTCCCATTAGTCTTGAATTCTCAGTGCTTACCATTGTGTTGCTCGTTACGTATTTAGGCGATTTTACGCAAAACAGCGATGAAAGTTGCGACGTTATTATATGAAAATTCACTCCAGAAACGACATGAAACGGTGCTCTCGTAGAAACGGTGAATTCGAATCCTTTGTACTTATATACATATAAGTATAATGACGAAGCAACGTCTGTAGTATTCATTATACAAGCATTAAATATTAAGATTGGACGAATCGCAGGTAACGAAAACGAAGATCGAGGATTATGAAAAGGATGAAAGCGAATCGGCAAAGGAGTTGCATTTAGTACGCTTTGCGACTTTGGTGCAATTGCCATGAAAAATTTGATAATTATGGAACTATATTACCAGCAGCGGGTGAAAAGAATGAAAGAAGGGAAGTAATACTATAGTACCGAACAGTAATCGCGTTTCCATTCTTCGATAGATTTAAATCTCCGTCAATATTTCATGGTGTTGGTGTTTCTCGGATCGAGAACGGTAACCGAACAAAGCGTACATCCATAAAGGAACGTAACTCCCTCCGGCATCTGGCGGAAAAATAAGACGCGTATCCCGCCAGCTGATCCGACCGCATAAAAATACGCGTACGGTGTTCCTCGACGAAAAATATATTCCTCGGCGCGTCGACCGTGGGTTATATTATAATACCACCCTGGGGTGCCACGGAAAAGCTAACAAGAGAGAATTCCGGCCGTATAGGTATACGGTCCGCCGACTCTGACGTTTCGTGCGCATCAGATATTTACCGAAATTGAATTTCCGTCCCGCTCTACCGTGTTCCGTGGGGTCACCCCGGATGGCCCCGGTGGCGACGTAATACAATATTCCGGGCAACCTCCATCCGCCGAAACGCGAAGACGCAGTGGCTGGTAAGAACGAGAGGCGATGTTCGACCTCGTGTACACGAGACGTCGAGGACCGTGACGTGTATCGAGGGTGTGTACACACGTACGTTAGACGGGGTTTCAGAAGGATCGTCGTATTCACGGTGTCGGGCACGATCGAACAAGATGCGAATACCTTCGATTGGCAGATATTGTCCAGTCCTCGAAGCCTTCGAGAACCTACTCGGACCCCCTATCTGTCGGATAGCCAACAATGCTCCGGATCCAGAGGGATATCGAGAAAAAGGGTTGGGTCTGGGTTCTCCGATGAAATGGAAGGGTTACGCGTAAAGAGTTAGAGCGGCGTTCGTTCGGATGATCGGTTTGCGGATAGAAACCAACCAAAAGATTGCGTAAGAGTTAAGAATAGCAATACTTTTCGTGCAACGGAGCTGGATGGGTATTGCAAGAAGCGAGAGTTACATGCTCGAATTATCACCGGAAACCCATTCTACGGATACAAAAAAAGAAAATGTTTGTACCAAACACGACGACATAAAAATTGGGCAACTGCCAATGGAGAAGTTTTTGAGGCTTTCGGTCGAAAGGTATATTTGTCGGATCAACAGGCGAACGACTGTTTGACCGATGCTTTTTGCTCTTGGTTTTACGTGTAATAAAAATAGATGCAGCGTTAAAGAAAGAAGAAGAATGGTACGTGTGATATTGGACACACGCGTAGATAAATAAAGAAATAAATATATCGTTTGACGCAAAGCCAGAAAGGAAAATGTCTGCACAAACGTGTGCTAGAAACAATTAAAAGATGCACGTTATTAAAGGATTACTTTTATTTACAGTTTGGTGTGCTGCTGGTTGTGCGACTTGCTCTCCTTCACGGCGCTCTACCAAAGTTCTCGCCGCAGGATAATCCGGCAGCTTTTCATCCCTGTTTCCACGTCAGGTGAGTATCCGCATAAGTCCTTTATGCTACGCGGGTAGTAGCGTGGTTTACGATTACAATGTTTTTATATTCCCAGCGATTGCGGATGCATGGAAACAGTATATTGTTGGTGGCGGTCCGAAAGTAACGGGTCGAATAAACATCAAACGAGATTTCGAATTCGCAGCCATTAGTTCGGGGGTTTCACACGATTTCAAGATAGTGACAATTTAATAGATATCACCTTGAAAGCTTTATTAATTCATTTATTATGTAATATCGTGCGTAAATGGAGGGGTAGTTTCTTTGTAACACTGCTTTGGGCCGTGCTTCGAGCAACGTCTCCATGTTCGGAAACGTTGGTCGAATCCGTCAACGACGACGCAGTATCCCGATTCGTGGCCGAGTTAAACCGACCTCCTCAACTTTTCCGGTTGGATGCTCTCTGTTTGCCCGTTCGAAGGTACAAGGGAGCGTTTCCCAACTTTTTCCGTGGTCGGAAGCGGATCGTGGCTGAACTATTGTTCGAACTAAACCAAAGAAACGTAAAACCACAAATGTAAAAGACATCGCTGGCATCTATCTTGCGATTGAAAGTGCAAGAAGAGAATCGTGTATACATATATCGTTAGCATGAAACGTACGAACAAGACTGCTACAGGCTTCTGCGTCTTGAAAGACAAGAGAGCGAAACTCGATCGCGATTGGGAACCCCTGGCATAAGGACGCAGGAAAGGGAGGAACGGAATCCTGACTCGCTGCGTCGGTATCGTCAAAGAGCGTAAGCTCGTGCAACTTTTCAAAAAATTCCGTAGGTCGACTGGCGGAGGGAACACACTTTCAAGAAGCAGTACGCTGGCAACAGCAGGAAAGGCCCTTTCTTCGATGGCCGATCATTTTCTTGCCGGCTTCTTTGAATGTTGCACGCCTGTTCGTTCGTACTGCGTGGTCTGGTGCATACGTTCACCTTACCCAGACTGCTTCTACCATCTGGAACTGCATAGAGAACTGTATCGACTTTACGTCCACCACAGTTTAGTCGAGGTGCTGGTAAAAGGCATGGAACTGCAGTTAATTGATGATGGACTAGGTATGCAAGCTCCCACATAGGTTCGTATCTTTTTGAAACTTCGACAAATTGTAGTTAAACGGATCTTTAGTTATACATATAAATACAACTTGAAGCCACAAAGTATTCTTCTGGGTATCAAATATTACTATTTCTGACATGTTATATGCAAAAGGCAAGGTGAGAGGCATCGCATGGACCATATACGGCGATACAGTGTCGCAGTAATCGAAGAAGGCAAGTACAAGGAGAGCGAGACTTGGAAGTTTTCGAGGTACGAATAAAAGATGATGAGACAAATGTAGGATACGAAGACGAAAGTTGGAAACTTACGACACGTCGGTCAAAGCTCCAAACTTGTTGCGAACGAAGTCAAAGATTTTCGAAACTAAAAACAGAATTAACGGAGCTGAAAATAATATAAAGTTTCTCTAAAAGTAAAGTAAATTCAGACAGCACGAAAAACGTGTGTCTTTGGATTTAAACTTGGACCATTAGACGTGTACCGGTATTCTGTCAGGCTCTGTTTCTACTTCCTATATCGCGGCCCTAAATCTCGATGGCTCCGATGTGTATAACATTTCCATATCATCGCATACCGAACAGTGATTACAAACGCAATGAAATTCCGTAACATAAATGTTTAATGCGAAGAGCCCAAGGGCAGACCCCTAAGGAGCATCGCGTGTAACAGACTGTGAAGAGGTTGATTATGGATCAAGGATATCCGTTAAATTTATCGAAAAGCCAAGGCTATGTAAATTTGTAAACGATATATCGGAATATCGTAGTCGGGTGGTGGGTAAGCGAGTTTTAAGGAATAAAAGAAATTGCGAGAGTGATAGTTTCGGTATTGTTTATGGGAACTATGAGAAGATCAAGGTAGAAGAAAGCAAGTTTCTTATCTCGTGCAACAACTAAGCCCTGATTGCGATGTTGTATGGCCAGGAAAGTTTTGTTTGAAATGGTTTCGCGAGAAAGGGGTGGCAAGAAAGAGGGTGGACGCGAACCGGGCTCCCGATGGTCGAGGGAAAATTCCGAAATATACGACTCGATTTTACGGTTCGACGGACGCGTCCGGCGAATCCGATTCCGCTATCTCCCCGAAGACTGACGATATCGACTGGACCCCCGGTAGCTATCGCGTCGCGAGAAAGGGATATGTCCCGGTGGTTTACGCGGCCGGGAAAATAGAACTGGTCCCGATGTAACGCTCCATTTCAATATCTCGATATGACGCGATACGCTTCCTCCTCGGGCAGGCCGGTTCGCGTTCCGCCGGAACGGTCCGCGCGCCACTTCCGCCGGTATCCACGGAAGAATTATTGTATTATTCGAGGAAGAGGAGGAAAATGTGCTCGATCCGCTTTCAATTCCGTGGCTCCGTTTTTGAGCGACTGTTTGTCACGTAACGCGGCCGGGACATCGTGTGACGTTCGACAACGAATGACCATGGAAACCGATAACGCGATCGTGTTCCCGATTCCCGGATTGCCGTTCCAGCTGGACTTGGAAATAAATATTATATTTTATTCCTTGTACGTTTCATTCGCAACAAGACCAAAGGGGCATTCTAGTCCCCTTGATACCAGGTGTAACGTTTAAGCTCCGAAATAACGTTCGTTGTTATGCCCTTCCTTGTTTACGATCGAAAAGACGCAGGAACGCCGATCTTCGTTCTTTTCAATCGCAAGATTTCGACGCGACGCTCGCGTGTCCCCGGCCTTAACGTTTGACCGACAGTGTTTACAACGGCTGTTGCGTAGCGACACCGAGTTGGGCGAGAAACCATTTAGGCACGCTTCGGAAAGACATTCCCGAACCGCAGTTAACGTCAGCTACGCGACATGGTGACACATTCCGGACATCAGTTCGACAAACGGGGCCATGACGCGACGTGACGCGACGATCGTAAATTAGGAGACATCGTGAATCTCGTCCTGTTTCCTTCAAGTACTTACCTTTCTGGACGTATTCCTTGGCTTTTTATCGCTTCGGTGACCCATCTTCACGCGTGCTGCCGCTATTTTCACATCCAGCAATTGTAAGTAATGTTTTCCAATAGCATGATACGCGGGGTACAGTATCTTTCCAAAGGAAAAGAAAGAACCCAATTAATCAGGATGGCATCGAGTAAAACGCATTAATATCTCCGCGACGGATTTATGCTTTTCATCAGATTCCTTCGTAGCGGAGTTCTATATTTCCAGAGAATCGTTTCCTGTCCAATCTGGAAGTTGGTAGGTTGGGGAAAAAGCCTTCCTCGTTACCCGTCGATGCGAAAATCAGGCAGCAAAGAATGGCGGCTTTACTTAGCGGAGGAAGCACGGCCGGGGCAAGACGTTGGATAATTTTAGCATATTGAAATATTGTTTCGTTCTTTTCGTTCCGTACCGTTCGGTTCGGCTGTATCAGCGTATCGGAACGGTCGCGTTTCCGCCTTGAGCTCTGTTCCCGTATTTATTCTTTTTTCCTCGGCTGTTACCGCTCCCAGGATCTCTCGCTCCTTTTCTTCCTCGGCAGCCAACCGAGCGGAGCGACGCGACGGGAGTCGGCGGGCTTCTGCCGGGGTTAGAGAAGATATTATGCGAAATACTTTCTGCCTGGCTTCCGTGAACCGGCCGGGAATACTTTATGAGATGTATAATTTGGCCGGATGTACCGTCGTTCCGCGAAATTTACGATCGTTCGAGCCTACGCCGAACCAACCTTGGTGCTCTGCAACACGCCTGCCCGGTGGGTTCGCCACGTTTCTCTATCCCGACGATTCTCACCGCCCGCTACTCTGGCTTCGTATATGCGACAAGGCCGACACGTGTCCCGTGGATGACTGTGCAACTTGAGGAAATTCGAGCACGATATTTCGTTTTCCGGCCGTCCCGTTAATATCGCGCGACCCAGAAAGATTTGCGAAATTACTTCACCATCCGGACGGTATGGATGAGGCCGGATGGCCCTGGATAGCTGTCGCGTAGTTATTACGGGATAAAGAAGAACCTTTACCCTGGATCCAGCGCTTTAACGCCGTTTCGCGCTTCCATATTGCGACTCGGGAGAATTAACTTTTATGGGTCTTCTCTTGATCGTACGTGCTGATGTATCGCACATTGTAGCATTTGTACAGAGAGTTTCATTTTTCCGGTGAACCTTCCTCCCGCATGCTACGTGTATTTTACGACTTCCCTTTTCTGCATTTTTATTTATATCGAGGTATTTCCATTGCCAGCCGTTGGCAACGCTTTTAAAGAAATTACAGTTTTTAATCCAAGCAGTCGCACACAAAACTAAAAAAAAGTTTAACGTATACATCAGAACCTTTCAAGGAATTTGAAATCGAATCGAATAGATTTTATTCGAGCCTCGTGGAAGGGTGAAAGTGGTCAGCGACTACGGTGTTTAAGCGTAGAAATTGGAGAATCGAAACGCTTAAAGGTGTGCGTTGCCACCACGGTCTCTTCTATTTTACGCGGGATATCTGGCGGCGGTGATTAATCCCACACGATTACCTACCACCCTGTCTAACGTATCTCGTTCCAGCGGCGCGCAATGATATTACAACCCTCTATCGGCGCGGAACCGAGCCGTCGCTTTCGCGTAAAATATTAATGGCGGTGGGTGCTGCTGTCCGTCGGAAGCCGGGGTTCAATGTGTTCCGAGTGTTTCGCATATCGAACAAAGCCCTCGTGAATTTTCGCCGAGATCCTCGTTTTTACCGGCTCAGCGTAGAATGGTACCCGCCCAAAGGAAAATAAATGGTTGCGCAATTGAATTTGGTTTTCGATGGAATTGACGATGGAAACGTATAAACGCTTTTCGAGGGGGGCTGTTCAATTTATAGGCTTTCCCTTTCTTTTGTAAGCGTGGAATTTGTTCGTTTCATAATAGAACAAATATTTCTTCGGTTATTTGCTGTGCAAATTAATATTCCGTGTAACAATTTTTGCCGTTGAGG